ATTAATAAGCTATCAGACTTGCAGGGTAGCACATGCTGTGACATGCACAGATAGATAGTCATAGTCTGAAGTTGCACTGCCCAGGACATCTAGCCAATGTGGCACCAAGTCCCAATTCCTCAAAGAGAAACCAGAGATGTGTTGGTACCTCAGATTCCTTCACCCTTGACCCCTAACCCAGCCCGTCAGCAAAACCCTTTTGCTCTGCTGCCCAAAGCTGTTATGATCCAGCTACTCCCTGTACCATGATCTCTATGTCTGGACTTAATCCATCAGGACCAGCCTCCCTGGCTGCTGCTGTCCCCACATTCACATTTCTGCCTCCAGGAACACAGGTGACACCCTGTCTCTTTTCAGCACCAGAGCCTTCCTCACTGCTGCCCTTAGGCCAGTGTGAGCTCTTCAGCACTGTGTTCCCCTCCCCTCCCCATCCCTCTGGCTCCTCCCCACCTGGCCCTCATCTCCCAATACTCAGACTCTTCCTTGTCCTTGAAGTACCCTTGCTTCGTCTCACCCCCCACTTGCCTCTTTTCTTTCTTAGGATTTTTCCTGTTTGGCTGGAAAGTCATTCTCTTCATGTCTCAGAGTCTGTATCACTTTGGGAGGAGATGACCTGAGAGGTGATAGTCCCCAGAGCCAGTGTCAACCTAGAAGTGATGTCTGATGTCTTCCAGAGCCTTTGACATCCTCAGAGGTGATGTCATCCTACAGCCAATGTCACCCCTAGAGCCGGAGTCATGTCTAGAGATGATGTGACCCCCCCATAAGTGATGTCTGGGAACTTCAGTTCACAAAGGAGCAAAAAATTAGACTGAGCTATATGAAAATGTGCTGATAGATTTAAAAAGATCAAATCTTGACAACCTATTGTCATTGGTCTTCAGATGGACTGTCCCTCCCTCTTGTTTCTTGACCTTTCTTCCCTCATTTTGATTATTTGGAGAGTTCTCAGCTGTGTAGTGAGTGGAACATCACTTCAGTTTACATAGCGAGGGGCCTGTGTGTGATTACTGTAACACATAGTTGTCCTCCATTAAGCCAGGTTCTGAGGGAGAGAATGAATGCCAGACAGAGAGGAAAGTGCTATGTCCCATGGTGGAAAAAGAGTTGGACATTCTGGACACAGAGGAGGGGTCCAGGCCTTGGTGTGAAGCTAGCTTTGGGATTTGGATCTGAGATTTCTCCCATGGGTCTGAATTTTGCTCATTTCTTACATTTGGGGTAAGCATTCCTCTCCTTCAGGCCTCTTTGCTCCCTGCTGCCCAGAGGCAATTACTGACAACCATCCTTGCTGTGGAGTGTGATTTGGGAAATTAAATGCTGAGTTGCTCAGCTCCCAGACTCAGACTTCATCCCACCTGGTCTCCTCCCCATGTGGGAAGCTGTGCCCCTGCCCAGTCAGGCCTGCATTGAATTGGTGGGAACTGGCCATGATAGTGACTTACAGATGACCCTGCAATGCTTGGTCCCTTTCATGGGGTGAACAGAGCTGGAAGGTTCTCCAGTGGAAAGGCCTCTGTGATAATTAACATTGGATGTTAACTTGACTGGCATCACATAGGGGAGAAGTCCCCAGGCACACCTACTCAGAACTGTTTGCAGTGGGTTAACCTTCAGGATCTGCTGCAAGAGAGGAGTTTGATTACAACTGATGAAGTAGGAACACTTGGAATGTAGTTAACACCAGTTCTAGGTTTGGGGTCTTGGGCTGCATATGGCAGATGAAGCTAAGCACCAGCATTCACTTCTCTTTGCCTTGGCTGTGTATGCAATATGATGTTTTTGCCCTGAGGTCTCATTACCATGACTTCCCCACCAGGAAGGACTGCTCCCTTGAATGTAAACCAACACAAACCCTTCCTTAAGTTGCTTATATCATGGTCTTTTATCACAGACACAGGAAAAATAACAGTGGCCAACCATGCCCAAGAAGGACTGAGAGACCTGGTGTGACCCATGGCTGCAATATTGTGTTCATATTGTCAACATGGTTGCCAGGCTGCAACATTGTATTTATATTGTCAACATGGCTACCAGGCTGCAACAGTGTATTCATATTGTCAACATGGCTACCAGGCTGCAACAGTGTATTCATATTGTCAACATGGCTACCTGACTGTATCATTGTATTCATATTGTCAACATGGCTACCTGACTG